TGTGTCATTATTTAAAATAATGCCTTGTAAAAAAAATAAAAAAATAAAAAATAAAATAAAATAATGCCTTGTGAGCTTTCCACTATGATTCAGAAAGCCCTACTTTCTCTGTCCCCAACCCACATGCCAGGAATAGCCTCACCAGGCCACTTTCTGGCTACTGGGTGGGAGTCACATTCTGGTAACTATATTGCTGGAAAATGCCTTCATCCAGAGGGGTAACTTCTCTACTTCCAACAGGCCTCCTCTGCTACTGGCTCCTACCACAAGTCCAAAGCAATGGGTCAATATAGTATGGACTGAAACATCCAAAATATGAGCCGGGGCTGGGAAGGTGGCTCAGTGGTAGAGCACTTGCCTGGCAAGCATGAGGCCCTGGGTTCGATTCCTCAGCACCACATAAGCAAAAAGAAAAAAGCTGGAAGTGGCGCTGTGGCTCTAGTGGTAGAGCACTTGCCTTGAGCTGAAGAGCTGAGGGACAGCGTCCAGGCCCAGAGTTCAGGCCCCATGAGTGGACCCCCCAATAAACAAAAACAAAAACAAAATATGAGCCAAAGTAAACTTTTCCTCTTTTTAAGGTGATTTATCTCAAATATTACAGTAAATGAAAGCTGACTAACACATTCCTATACAAAGACTTACACACGAAGAGCCATAGTAACTTTATTTGTAATGGCTTAAAATTATTACAGTAATAGCTGGGAGCCTGTGGCTCACACCTACTCAGGAGGCTGAGATCTGAGGATCATGGGCAGGAAAGCCTGGGCAGGAAAGTCAGTGAGACTCTTTCCAATTAACCACCAGAAAACCAGAAGTAACACTGTGGCTCAAGTGGTAGAGTGCTTGCTTTGAGCTGAAGAGCTGAGGGACAGTGCCCAGGCCCAGAGTTCAAGCCCCACAACCAACTCCCCACCAAAAAAAATTATTACAGCAAAATGTCCATCAACAGAGGAGTAGATAACTAAACTGTGATACAGCCAAACAATGGCATACTATTCAGCAATTGAAAGGAAGAAACTTGATATAAGCAACAACATGGACAAATCTCAAGATATTTACACTAAATAATACCCCCTAACAATATTTAAGTGCATATACTGTACTAGTATAAAATTTTATTTTATTTATTTATTTAATTCTTCTTCTTCTTCTTCTTTTTTTTTTTGTCAGTCGTAGGGCTTGAACTCTGGGCTTGGGCGCTGTCCTTGCGCTCTTCAGTTCAAGGCGAGCACTCTACCACTTGAGCCACAGCGCCACTTCCTAGTATAAAATTTTAGAATGGGGGTGGGAAGGTGGCTCAGTGGTAGAGCGCTTGCCTTGAATGCATGAGGCCCTGAGTTCAATTCCTCAGCACCACATAAGCAGAAAAAAAAAGCTGGAAGTGGCACTGTGGCTCAAGTGGTAGAGCACTAGCCTTGAGCTGAAGAGCTGAGGGACAGCGCCCAGGCCCAGAGTTCAGGCCCACAACTGGACCAAAAAAAAAATAATAAAAATAAAATTTTAGAATGTACAAACTATCCAGTGTCAAAAAATGTAGATGAGCTGGGCACTGGTGGCTCACACCTATAATCCTAGTTACTCTGGAGGCTGAGATGTGAGGATCATGGTTCAAAGCCAACCAGGCAGAAAAGTCTGAGAGACTTTAAAAAAAAAAATTATTGTAGGGCTAGGAAGGTGGCTCAGTGGTAGAGTGCTTGCCTTGCATGCATGAGGCCCTGGGTTTGATTCCTCAGCACCACATAAGCAGAAAAAAAAAGCCGGAAGTGGCGCTGTGGCCCAAGTGGTACAGCACTAGCTTTGAGCTAAAGAGCTGAGGGACAGCGCCCAGGCCCAGAGTTCAGGTCCCACGACCGGATCCCCCCCCAAAAAATATTGTAAAGATACTGTAGAGAGGGGTTACAGTTATATGAGTAAGGTAATGAGTACATTTCCTGTCCAGCATTGTTACCCCCTCCTTTGTTTTTCCCCTACTATCCCTTCCCTCCCTACCTCCCCCACACCAAGTTGTAAAGTTCGTTTTCAACATAGTGTCTTGTACATCTCGTTGTTACAATGGGTCATCCTGTATTCTTGTTTCAGCATTTTGTTATTTCCCTTCTCCTCCCTATATTAGAAAAATATGTATATACAAAATGTATATACAGGGATGGGAAGGGGAAACAAAGAGGAGGCAACAATGCTTGATAAGAAATGAACTCGTTATCTTGCCCATGTAATTGTAACTCCTCCGTATGGTATTTTCACAATAAAAAACAAAACAAAACAAAAAACAAAATGTATATACAAGATGCACAGTTAGGGACACAATAGGTTTTATCTTTGTTGCTGTTGTTTTTAATGTACTATGTGATTTTTTTTGTTTCTTTTGTATGTTCTTCCCCATGGTATAACCCCTATTGTCACCGTATTTGATTCTGGTGTCAGACTCTTCAGTTAACCACCAGAAAACCAGAAGTGGACTATGGCTCACGTGGTAGACGGCTTGTCTTGAGCTGAAGAAGTGAGGGACAGTACCCAGGCCCAGAGTTCAAGCCCCACAACCAACCAAAAAAAAAAAAAAATGTAGATGAGTGTGTCCTGGCAATGGGAAGGTTGCAGGGAGGGATTATGTAACTATAACTCCTCTGCACATCTTTTGTTGTTGGTGGTGGTGGTCATGGGGCTTGAGCTCTCCTCCTGGGTGCTGTTCTTCAGCTCTTTAGCTCAAGGTTAGAGCTGTAGTATTTGAGCCACAGTGCCACTTCTGGTTTTCTGATAGGTTATCGGTGATAAGAGTCTCATGGACTTTTCTGCCTGGGCTGGTTTTGAAACACAATCCTCAGATCTCAGCCTCCTGAATAGCTAGGATTACTGACACCTGGCCTGTACATCTTCTTTATAATAATCTTAAAAACTGACTAAAGGGGCTGGGAATGTGGCTTAGAGGTAGAGTACTTTCCTAGCATGCATGAAGCCCTGGGTTCAATTCCTCAGAAAAAGACAGAGAAGTAGTGTTGTGGCTCAAGTGGTAGAGTGCTAGTCTTGAGCAAAAAGAAGCTCAGGGACAGTGCCTAGGCCCTGAGTTCAAGCTCCAGGACTGGTGAAGAAGAAGAAGGAGAAGGAGAAGGAGAAGGAGGAGAAAGAGAAGGAGAAGAAAGAGAATATATGTATGAGAGCCTGGAGCTGGTAGCTCACGCCTATAATTCTAGCTGAGATCTGAGGATCAAAGTTTGAAACTAGCCTGAGTAGGAAAGACTATGAGACTCTAATCTCCAATTAACCACCAAAAAGCCTTAAGTAGAGTTGTGGCTCAAGTGGTAGTGTGCTAACCTTGAACAAAAGAGCTAAGAAACAGGACAGGCCTTGACCTTAAGCCCCAGGACTTGTGCACCTGTGAGCAAAAATACACACACACACAGACAAAATGGATAGATCTGAAATCTGAAGGAGCCCAGTCCATCAGATCTACAATGAACTATCATAATACAACACTTCCATGTGTGTTGTCCGTGAAGGAGAAGGAATCTTTCTGTGGAGAATAGAAGGAGGCGTGACTTGGTGGGAGGAGGAAACTGGGCAAACTCCCATCCAGGGTCCTGATGCCCTGAACACCCTTTTTGCAGGTAATTCAACAACATCAGTGTCTTTCCTTCCTTCACATTCTGACTGGACCTCCGTGCTGCAGTTTCACCAGGGCCTCCGTTTCTGAGCAACGTGTGCTTTTGTGTGTGCCAGTCCTGGGCTTGAGCTCAGGGCTAGAGGCTGTCCCTAAGCTTTGTCCTGGGCTTGAGCTCAGGCCTAGGGGCTGTCCCTAAGCTTTGTCCTGGGCTTGAGCTCAGGGCTAGGTGCTGTTCCTAAGCTTTGTCCTGGGCTTGAGCTCAGGGCTAGGGGCTGTCCCTAAGCTTTGTCCTGGGCTTGAGCTCAGGCCTAGAGGCTGTCCCTAAGCTTTGTCCTGGGCTTGAGCTCAGGGCTAGGTGCTGTTCCTAAGCTTTGTCCTGGGCTTGAGCTCAGGGCTAGGGGCTGTCCCTAAGCTTTGTCCTGGGCTTGAGCTCAGGCCTAGAGGCTGTCCCTAAGCTTTGTCCTGGGCTTGAGCTCAGGGCTAGGTGCTGTTCCTAAGCTTTGTCCTGGGCTTGAGCTCAGGGCTAGGGGCTGTCCCTAAGCTTTGTCCTGGGCTTGAGCTCAGGCCTAGAGGCTGTCCCTAAGCTTTGTCCTGGGCTTGAGCTCAGGGCTAGGTGCTGTTCCTAAGCTTTGTCCTGGGCTTGAGCTCAGGCCTAGGGACTGTCCCTAGGCTTTTTTTTTTTCACCCAAGGCTGGAGATTTCTACCATTTGAGGCACGGCTTCACTTCTCTTGGTAGTTAGTAAGCCATGATGTCTCCGGGACGTTCCTGCCTCGGCTGGCTGCGAACCCGAGATCCTCAGCTCTCAAGCCTCTGAGTAGCGCGGCTCTCAGGCGGGTGAGCCCGGGCTCCATTGTGCATCTGAAGTTCTCCCCTTCTGGGATGGAACGTCCTCCCCAGCATGAAGAAGGCACGTGACATGCAATGGCGAGAATAAAGCTCAGGGTAAGGTGCACCGGCTCCGGAGGACAGCGCCTACGGCTCCTCGTGGGTCCACGTGGCAAGCTTTACTCCGTCAGGGTGTGGACTGGGTTCAAGGTCGTGTCTGTAGAGCTTGCAGCAGCAGGACTGGCGTGGAATGAGCACGCAGGAGATGCAATGCTTGGAAGAGCGAGGGAACCTGCCCTGTCCTCCCCCCCCCCCGCCCCGCCCTGGCCCACCCTCCGCCAAAGCGGCCCTCACGGCCGCCGCGGCTGAACCGCCACGTCGCCTCCCTACTCTCTTCCCAACCGGGTTTAACCAGACTCTGCCCACGGCTAGGTACCCGGCTCACCGGGCCGCGCCCCACAGGCACGCATGCCATCTGTGATTGGCTTCTACGGGTGCCCATCGTCGGAGGCCTCTGTAGATTGGTCAAGATTGGTGAGATGGGGCGGGTGTTGAAGAGCGTAGGAAGGGCGGGGACCCGGATGTGTGTAGTGGCGGTGGCCGAAGAGCTTGTGTACGGAGCTGAGAGGCCTATGGATGAGGAGGACGCGGCGGCCCCGGTAGGCGGGGTTCGGAGGCGGGGTCCCGGAGGTCTTGGGTCTTCCCGGGAGCTCGAAGTGGGGGTCTTGGGTAGTGGCTCTGAGGGGTCAGGGGCGGGGTCTTGCGCTCCTCCCTTGGCGCACCCTCCCCGAATGCAAGGCCTGGAGAACCCGCGTAGTCACCCATACAGGCTAGAGCTAGGTTACCCCAGGTCTCGTGGGAGCGACCAGGCCATGCCTGGCTCCTCTGCACTTGTGCCACTCACTGGCACCAGGGCTTTAGGGTTCTGGGCAACCAGATACTCTTAGACCTGGGGTGCCAGCATCCATCTTCCTGGGATCGAGCTCTGGCTAAGGATAGAGGCGGCAATGAACACCAGCTGGGCTGTTCCCACAGGTGTCTACTCCTCTGGGCCAGCGTGGTTGTAGTTACTGCAGAAGAGTTGTGCACATTGGATGGAACTTTCCAGTGTAGCCTATAAGGACCTACTGTGTGCAAGGATTGTGCCAGGGCTCGGGGAATGGGAAGAGAGTACCTTGGCCTTTTTCTTACTTTAATTCCAAGGAAGATTCATTCATTCACTTATTCGCTCATTCATTCATTCATATGTTGGCTCCTTGGTCATTTCACCCATCTCTTTTCTTTCTTTTTTTTGGGTCCGGTCGTGGGGCCTGGGCGCTGTCCCTCAGCTCTTCAGCTCTAGGCCAACGCTCTACCACTTGAGCCACAGCACCACTTCTGGCTTTTTTCTTTTTGCTTATGTGGTGTTGAGGAATCAAACCCAGGCTCTCAGGCATGCAAGGCAAGCGCTCTACCACTGAGCCACCTTCCCAGCCCTCACCCATCTCTTTTCAATGCTACCATTTTTGTGGATGTCATCTCCCCTCTGAACTGTTAGAGCAAGCCTCAACCCAAATGTACTTTTTTTTTTTTTTGGTCAGTTGTGGGGCTTGAACTCAGGGCTTAGGCGCTGGCCCTGTGCCTCTTTGTGCTCCAGGTGAAGCTCTACCACTTGAGCCGCAGTGCCACTTCCGTGTTTTTAGTGGTTAATTAGAGATGAGAATCTCAGGGTGACTTTTCTTCTGCCTAGGCTGGCTTCCAACTGTGATCCTCAGATCTCAGTCTCCTGAGTAGCTAGGCTTATAGGGTGTGAGCCACTAATACCCAGCATATCATTTCTGACTTAAAACTCCCCAAAGATTTCCTATCATATGTGAAAGAAAATCCAGAGCCTTGATCTGGCTCCTGCCCTTTCTTACCCATTTTCACTCATTTTCCCTACACATCAGCTATCTGGCATTCTCTCCTCTACTATGCCTGCTCCCTTGCGCTCTAGGTCTTATGCCTCACTGTCCCCTCCCTGGAATGACCTTGCTTGGGCTGGCACATGCCTGGCTTCTTTCCAGCTCACTTGTCACCTCTTTAAAGAGATAGTCTCTGTCCACTGTGTCCTTCCATTCTGTGTCATGTTACCTTGTTGTTCTCCCCTCCCCCTCACTGGCTAGAGTTGTCTTATATCTTGACCCCGTTGGCCCAGTGGAATTGGAATCCCCTAAGAACAAGAGCTCATTCACTCATCCATCCTGTTCACAGCTGTATCCCTAGCATTCAGGAAGGTACATACAGTAGGAGCTCAGTAAATACTTGTTACCTCTTGGATGGGAATAAGGGATGGTATGAGGTTGTGATATAGACACAGCCACAAGTCTGGTACCCTCACCAAATTCAGACTTGAGCAGAATGGGGAGCCCTAGTCAGGGCCCGTTTCTTCCTCCATCCAATCTTCCCTTGCAGGTTTGTTCTCATGAACAAGATGGATGACCTCAACCTGCACTACCGGTTTCTGAACTGGCGCAGGCGGATCAGGGAGATTCGAGAGGTTCGGGCTTTCCGGTATCAGGAGAGGTTCAAACACATCCTTGTAGATGGAGACACTTTGAGGTAAGTTTAGGGGAAATGGTACTACATTTTCTTTTTGTCCCAGATCTCAAAGGTGAAAAATAGCTGTTTTAGAAGGAAAGTCGGGCTGTGAAGGTGGCTCAGTAGTAGAGTGCTTGTCTTGCATGCATGAGGTACCACCTAAGCAGAAAAGGCCAGAAGTGGCGCTGTGGCTCAACTGGTAGAGTGCTAGCCTTGAGCTAAAGAGCTGAGGGACAGCACCCAGGCCCAGAGTTCAGGCCCCATGACCAGACCCTCCCCCAAAAAAAGTTAAAAAAAAAAAAAAGCGGGAAGTAGCGCTGTGGCTCAAGTGGTAGAGTGGTAGCCTTGAGCTGAAGAGCTGAGGGACAGTGCCCAGGCCCAGAGTTCAGGCCCCACGACTGGATCAAAAAATAAGGGCCGGGCGCTGGTGGCTCACGCCTGTAATCCTAGCTACTCAGGAGGCTGAGATCTGAGGATCGCGGTTCAAAGCCAGCCCGGGCAGGAGAGACCGTGAGACTCTTATCTCTAATAAACCACCAGAAAACCGGAAGTGGCGCTGTAGCTCAAGTGGTAGAGCGCTCACCTTGAGCTGAAGAGCTGAGGGACAGCGCCCAGGCCCAGAGTTCAAGCCCCACGACCGACAAAAAAAAAAAAAAAAAATAAAATAAAATAAAATAAAAAATAGGCTGGGAAGGTGGCTCAGTGGTAGAGTGCTTGCCTTGTATTCCTGAGGCCCTGGGTTCGATTCCCCAGCACCACATAAGCAAGAAGAAAAAAGCCAGAAGTGGCGCTATGGCTCAAGTGGTAGAGTGCTAGCCTTGAGCTGAAGAGCTGAGGGACAGCACCCAGGCCCAGAGTTCAGGCCCCATGACCAGACCCCCCCCCAAAAAAAAAGTTAAAAAAAAACGGGAAGTAGCACTGTGGTTCAAGTGGTAGAGCGCTAGCCTTGAGCTGAAGAGCTGAGGGACAGCGCCCAGGCCCAGAGTTCAGGCCCCACGACCGGACCCAAAAAAAAATAAAATAAAATAAAAGATAAAGAGTCTCACAGACTTTCCTGCCCAGGCTGGCTTTAAACCGTGATCCTCAGATCTCAGCCTCTTGAGTAGCCACTGGTGTCCAGCTGTTTGTTTTTGAAACAAGGTTTTGATATGTTACCTGGACTATCAGCCTCCTGAGTGATGGGATTATAGGCACGTGTTACCATACCCAGTGTGGGTCACTGTTTTGGTCTGGCCATGAAGAAATCCAGCAAAGACCTGTCTTGTTTGGGCACAGTGTTTGGACACAAACAGAAGTGACCAACTCAGGTGTAGGAGCTGTTGGACTGAGTTCTTTGCCAAGAAGACTGCAGTGCATTTGACTGGTTTCTGCCCATGTCTCAGGGTCTGGGCTTGGTGAAGGGAGACCTTTACAAAGACTGTAGGCTTCCTGTTTATGGAAAGACAACTCTGTAGTGCATCCCATCCACCACCTCTTTCTAACTCTTAGGTTTGTGTGTGTTTCTTTCTCCTTTCTCTCTTGAACCCATTCCATTCTTTAACTCCTTCTAGCCTAATTCAGAGTTGTCTCTGAAGGAAGGAAAGTGATTTTTTTTTTTTTTTTGCTTAGAGGCAAAGAAGCTAAAGAGCGGAGGACCAAGTACCTATCACCTAGTATGCAAGGACTTTGGTACAGCAGATAGAGACAAGTTACTCTCCAACCAAAGACCAGGGCTTGAAGTTAGTAAGATTCTGAAATCTTTATGAGACAATTAAGGAAGGCTGTATATTTTTCCTCCTTGGAAATGACAAAAACCAAGTTTGCCTTGCTCTCCTGTGGCTTGGACCTGGCTGGAAGCAGTGGGAGGGGTGGGTGGCTTTGCATCTGGAGGCATCTGTGTACATGTTCTGAAATGGCCTGCTGGGTTTTCCTCTATGCTGGCCCTTGAAGGATGGTTGTTGGGGACGCTGAGGCCTTCCTACAAACTCCTGGGCTGGACTGTTAATGGAATTTTCCTTTCATTCCTCCTTCAGTTATCATGGAAATTCTGGTGAAGTTGGTTGCTACGTGGCTTCTCGACCCCTGACCAAGGACAGCAATTATTTTGAGGTAATCAAGCAGTGGGTGGGCAGAGCAAGGGATTAGAGCATTAATCTTCAAGAAACTCCTTTACTAGATACCTGACCTGGTCCTTTTAATTTTCCACCAGGGCTTTCTTGTTCTCTGGGAAAAGGGTGCAGAATAGATGTCCCTTGATCTAGAGATAGGTACCCTGGAGTCTTATTACCATGTGCCTTCTGCCTTCCTGCCTCCCCTGCCCCAGGTGCTTTTTTAACCCGTATCCCAGAATTTGACCCATGTGCTTTCTTTCCTACCCCTTAATTTAAGCTCTGCATATGGTCCTGTCTCCTGTCTTTCTAAAGCTTAAGAACAATTATCTAAGTGATTATAAGCCCCTACTTTCACCCATTTTTTTTTCTCTAAGTGTGCTATCTTTCTCTGATGCCCATGTCTTTTGTTTCTGAGCTCCCTTTGTCACTAACTCAGTGGGCCACCCCTCACCCCCACCAGTTCATTCCATTTTCTATTCTTGCTGACTATGTTCTGCTCTTTTTCCTCTAGGTGTCCATTGTGGATAGTGGTGTCCGGGGCACCATTGCTGTGGGGCTGGTCCCTCAGTACTACAGCTTGGATCACCAGCCTGGCTGGTTGCCTGATTCTGTAGCCTACCATGCTGATGATGGCAAGTGAGTGGCCCCCTGTGGAACTTAACCCCTTTTCTGTAGGATTGGGAATCATAGATATAAAGGACTAACTGCCTTGTGTGACTTTTCCCGTTTCTCCCCGGTCTTGGGTGTTTTCATAGATTTTTCTGATTAGGACAGTAGGTGACCGGGTAGTGGCTATGCTTGCAGGTTATGTAGGCTTTCAGGAGAGGGTGGGGCTCACAGTAGGCAACCATCCAAAGTGACTGGGGTAGTTGAGAGGGTGCTGGGGAGGAGTAGAGGCAGGCTGTCTTGTATTTGTGCTATTCTTTCCACAGACTGTACAATGGCCGAGCCAAGGGCCGCCAGTTTGGGTCAAAGTGCAACTCTGGGGACCGGATTGGCTGTGGCATTGAGCCTGTGTCCTTTGACGTACAGACTGCCCAGATCTTCTTCACAAAAAATGGGAAGCGGGTGAGTAAGTAATCTTGGGGCTCAATGGGCTTAAAGCTGCACAAGGGTTTGTTGGAGTGAATGGGAAGAGTCTCTTTGTTAGAGCTTTCTTAGGGACCAACACTTACTTCCTCATATGCACCTCAAGTCCCCTGTGTAGAAGATGCTGGGATATGACTCATGTGATACACCTAGAGGGACAACTTAGTGCAGTCTGTGAAAGAAGGGCAGAAATTTCCCCAGGGGCTGGGGGGGCAGAAGTGGGTGATTTTGGGGGAACTTTTTTTTTTTTTTTTGCCAGTTGTGGGGGCTGATCTCTGGGCCTGGGCGCTGTCCCTTCAGCTCTTCAGCTCAAGGCTAGCGCTCTACCACTTGAGCCACAGCACCACTTCTGGCTTTTTTTCTGCTTATGTGGTGCTGAGGAATCTAACCCAGGGCCTCAGACATGCAAGGTAAGCACTCTACCACTGAGCCACCTTCCCAGCCCCAGATTTGGGGGAACTTTTTTTTGCTGGTCCTGGGGTTTGAACTCTGGGCTTGGACACTGTCCCCAAGCCTCTTTGTGCTCAAGGCTAGCGTTCTACCACTTGAGCTGCAGTGCCACTTCTGGCTTTTTCTGAGTAGTTTATTGGAGGTAAGAATTTGTCGGAGTTTCTTTCTTTCTTTCTTTCTTTTTTTTTTCTGTTGGTCGTGGGGCTTGAACTCTGGGCCTGGGTGCTTCCCTCAGTTCTTCAGCTCAAGGCTAGCTCTTTACCACTTGAGCCACCGTGCCACTTTCGGCTTTTTTGGTTTATGTGGTGCTGAGGAATTGAACCCAACCCCTCATGCATGCAAGGCAAGTACTCTACCACTGAGCCACCTTCCCAGCCTCAGGGAGTTTCTTGACAAGGCTGGCTTTGAACCATGATCCTCAGATCTCAGTCTCCTGAGTAGTTAGGATTACAGGTGTGAGCCACCAGTGCCCAACTGGGGGAAGTTTGTTTTTTTGTTTTTGTTTTTGTTTCTCCAGTTCTGGGGCTTGAATTCAAGGCACTGTCCCTAAGCTTCTTTTGCTTAAGGCTAGCACTACCACTGGAGCCACAGTTTATGTGGCTCTGTTTATGTGGTACTGAGGAATTGAACCCAGGGCTTCATACATGCTAGGCAAGCACTCTACAACTTACATCCCCAGCCTGGGGAAAGGTTTTGATCAGACAAAAAGGGAAGATTGTGGCATGACTGCATTAGCTGAAGGGCCTCTGTGGGCTCTTGACTTGAATGCTTTTGAGGATATGTCCTCAGTCCTGGGGCTTGAACTCAGGTCCTGGATGCTGTCCCTGATCTATTTTGCTTAAGGCTAGTGCTCTACTGTTTGAGCTACAGTTCTGCTTCTGGGTTTTTTGCTGTTTGCCCAGGATAGCTTTGAGCAGCAATCATCAGATCTCTTGAGTAGCTAGAATTTCAGGTGTGAGCCACTGGTGCCTGGCTCTCTCTGGGTTTTATTTTTCTTCTTTCATTCCTCTTCAGAGACTAGTAGTGGTGAAGATGGGACAGAGCAAACAGAACAGAGCACCAGCCCTCTTCCTTTTCTCAGCTCCTTCTCCTGCCTGAGGAAGATGCTGTCTCAGGTTGGGCTGAGAGGTCCAGCAGCCTTAGCAGCTGTGCCACAGTACTGTCTGGCTGCAGCATGCACACACATGTCCTGAAAGTACTTGGCTGCAAGTCTAGAGACCTGGGTTTACCTTCTAACTCTGTGGACACCTTGCTTAGCTAGGACTACTTAGATTTTTTTTTTTTGTCAGTCCTGGGGCTTGAACTCCTAAGTACTGTCCCTGAGTTTTTTAGTGCTCTACCACTATGAGCCACAGTTCTACTTCTAGTTTTCTTGTGGTTAATTGGAGATAAGAGTCTCAAGGACTTTCTTGCCTGGGCTGGCTTTGAATTGCTGTCCTCAGATCCTGAGTAGCTAGGATTACAGGAGTGAGCCATCAGTGCCAAGCTACTTAGCAGATTGTGTGTGTCGGGCGGGGGAGGGAGGGGTCCTGGGGTTTGAACTCAGGGCCTAGGCATTGTCCCTGAGTTCCTTTTTTCCCAAGGCTAATGCTCTACCATTTAAGCTATAACTCCATTTTCAGCTATGTTGATAGTTTAGTGGAGATAAGAGTCTCACTGGCTGGCTTTGAATGGTGATCCTCAGATCTCAGCCTCCTTCCTGAGTAGCTAGGATTTTTTTTTCCATTGTGGGGCCTGAACTCTGGGCCTGGTCGCTATCCCTCAGCTCTTCAGCTCAGGCTAGCACTCTAACACTTGAGCCACAGCATTACTTCGGGCTTCCAGCTTTTTCTCCTTATGTGATGCAGAGGAATCAAACCCAGGGCCTCATGCATGAAAGGCAAGCACTCTACCACTGAAATACCTTCCCAGCCAATTATAGGGGCTACTTAACTTTTTTTTTTTTTTTTTTTGCCATTCCTGGGCTTGAATTCAGCACTGTCCCTGCTAGGGACAAGCACTCTACTACTAAGCCAACTTCCCAGCCAGTGCATTTCTTTTCGAACAGTGTTACCCCCAACTTAGCAGATTTTTAAACTTTCTTGTATGTCTTTTTAAAAAAATCTGTTAGTATGTATGTAATAATTATTGGCTGCATCATCTTAAAAGTGCCCTTGTGAGAATTAGGTGAACTGTGGAAAGTGGACCACATGGCAACTCCCTCCCTCCCTCCTTCTGCTGCAGGTGGGCTCTACGATCATGCCTATGTCCCCGGATGGGCTGTTCCCAGCAGTTGGCATGCACTCCCTGGGTGAGGAGGTACGGCTGCATCTCAATGCTGAGCTGGGCCGAGAGGATGATAGCATCATGATGGTGGACAGTTATGAGGATGAATGGGGCCGGCTGCATGATGTCAGAGTCTGCGGGACTGTAAGTAGGGGGTAGTGGAATGGTAGGGATAGGGCAGAGAGGGCTCACCTAAAGGCATAGGAGCACATCTGAATTGCTTTGAATTGTGTTTGCTTTTGCTTTTTTTTTTTTTTTTTGCCTGTCATGGGGCCTGAACTTTGGGCCTGGGCGTTGTCCCTCAGCTTTTCAGCTCAAGGCTAGCTCTCTACCACTTGAGACACAGCGCCACTTCTGGCTTTTTCTCCTTATGTGGTGCTGTGGAATCAAACCCAGGGCCTCCTACATGCTAGGCAAGCACTCTACCACTGAGCCACCTTCCCAGCCCTGCTTTTGATTCTTTTGAGAGAGTTTCAGAGAGTCCAGCTGACCTGCAACTTACAGTTCTCCTTTCTCAAACTCTTGAGTGGCTGAGATTATACCTATGTGCCATTATACCCATGACAGTATCTTTTGTAGAATTTTGCAAAATGGAAATATTGGCAGTACTGGAAGTTCTGGAAGTCTTGGGAGTCCAGATCTTTGTCCTCTTTATTATGGATTCTCTTTCTTCTCCTTCTCCTGATTTAAGAATTCAGGTTAGCTGTGGACTCCTGGAGAGCAGAAGCTGTTCAGTGTCTGGTCTCCTCTACTGTCCTGCTTGCATGCCAGTAAGGGGCTTGAGTCTGATTTGGAGGCATACTGCTTCTATTTCCTTTCTATGTCTATCAAGTTCAGCAGGCCCAGGTTTTCCATTCAAAGGTCAGAGTGGAGATGACATTAAAGGGGAGGTTTGTCTGTGAACTGTGGGCCTGGGCACTGTCCCTCAGCTCTTCAACTCAAGGCTAGTGCTCTACCACTTGAGCCACAGCGCTACTTCTGGCTTTTTCTGCTTATGTGGTGCTGAGGAATCGAACCCAGGGCCTCATGCATGAAAGGCAAGCACTCTACCACTGAGCCACCTTCCCAGCCTGGGCAAGGTTCTTAAGGAGAGCTTTTTTCAATAAACTCAGTGTCACTCTCGTCTGCCTCCCCCCACATTTTTTAGAGGCCAGGGAGAATACTTGAGCCCAAAGCTGGATTTCTCTCTTTTTTTTTTTTTTTTTTGTCTGAGACTGGGACTTGAATGTAATACCTGACTGGGACTTGAATGTAATACTTGACGCTTTTGTTCACTGACTAGTGCTATACCAACTGAGCCACGCCTCCAACTCTAACTTTCTCTACCTTTATCTTCTGTAGTCTCTCCTTGGATTTGGAACTTCCTTGGGAAGACTATGGGCCTTGAGAAAGGGAAGTCCTGTGCCTCTTAATGTGGTGGGCTGCTTGAGCCTCCCACTTGGAATTGTCCCTCTGCTGCCTCCTTGTTCCTAGCCTAGCCTCTCCCCAGCCTCTTGGCTCTGTAGCCTTCTCACCCCAACCCAAGCTGTTTTCACATCAGCCTGTGATTGCAAAATAGAAGCAGTGGGAGGTAGGGAGGGGGAGAGGATTATGAGCAAAGCCTCTTCTTGTGGAGTTGAAGGTAAGGCAAGCTCAGGAAAAATGGCAAAAGTGTACCCTCTTGCTGCTATATCTCTTCTGGCCTTGAGGTCCAAGAACTACTGCAGTTGTTAGCTGGAAGGCCTCAGATCCATACTCCTCTGTTTTCATCTCTTTCTTTTTCCTTCCACTATCATTTTAACAACATCCACAGAGTTGAACTTGGGACTGAGCCAGGGCAATTTTCCAGCTCTTGTCTCTGACCTCTCCTCAGGAGCTTTTTTCCTGGCATCCTTTCCCTGCCTGGACCTGCCCCTACTCTGCTCCCAGCTCCTCCCAGGCATCTTTTTTAATGGATGCAGAATCCTGTAGATATTTATAAGTAACTTTCCTTCCTTTCCACCCTCCCCAGATCACCCCCAGGTGACTCATTTTCAAATTGTTTCTTAGACATAAACTGTTGGATTTGGCTCTTCACTTAGACTCCTACCCCAGCTCAGGACAGTTGGCAGGGTGGGACCACTACTTTCTGGGAGCTTGCTCTTCTGGAACAGATTTAGGCATGAGCCTGAGGACATGTACCTTCTAGTCTTGTCAACCTTCCCATCTTAAAATGAGAATAAACTTCTAGTTTCCTTCATTGTTTTGGGCCTTCTGACCTTACTTATGCCATGGCCCTTCTTGTCCATTCTTGCTAATGCTAATTTTTGTTGTTGTTGTTCTGGGTCTTGATCTCAGGGTCTTAGCTGAGCTTCAGGGTCTTAGAGTTGTCCCTGAGCTTCTTTTGCTAAAGGCTAGCACTCTACCACTTGAGCCACAGCACCTCTTTTGGCATTTTCTGTTTATGTGTTGCTGAGGAATTGAACCCAGGGCTTCATGCATGCTAGGCAAGCACTCTACCTTTTGTTTTTTTTGTGGGGGGAAGTCTGTCATGGGGCTTGAACTCTGGGCCTGGGCCTGGGCACGGGCACTATCCCTGAGCTCTTCAGCTCAAGGCTAGGGCTCTACCATTTTGAACCACAGTGCTACTTCTGTTCTCTGGTAGTTAATTGGAGATAGGAGTCTCATGGATTTTCTTGCCCAGGTTGGCTTTGAACCACAATCCTCAGATCTCAGCATCCTGAGTAGCTAGGATTACAGGTGTGAACCACCAGTGTCGGGCTTTCTTGTTCATTCTTACTATGTACTATATTTCTTTTTTTTTTTTTTTTGTCGGTCGCGGGGCTTGAACTCTGGGCCTGGGCGCTGTCCCTCAGCTCTTCAGCTCAAGGCTAGCGCTCTATCACTTGAGCTACAGCGCCACTTTCGGTTTTCTGGTGGTTTATTGGAGATAGGAGTCTCACGGTCTCTCCTGCCCGGGCTGGCTTTGAACCGCGATCCTCAGATCTCAGCCTCCTGAGTAGCTAGGATTACAGGCGTGAGCCACCAGCGCCCGGCTTATGTACTATATTTCTTACTCAGAGATTAGAGCTATATTAGACTAGAGGTACCCAAGAGAGGCCATTTGTGCTATTCTATATTACTTCTATTATTATTACATATATATATATTTTTTGAGATAAGGTCTTGCTGTGTAGTCCAGGCCACCCTCAAATTTAAGATTCTTCTCCCTTAGCCTCTGGAGTGTTGAGATTATAGGTGGGTTTCACCACATTTGGTTTCTGTACTTCTTTGTTTCAAAGATGTCTAACAGTGTTGTTTTTCCTCTGCATCCTTTTTTTTTTTTTGGTATGGTCATGGGGCCTGAACTCTGGGCCTGGGCGCTGTCCCTCAGCTCTTCAGCTCAAGGCTAGTGCTCAACCACTTGAGCCACAGCGCCACTTCCGGCTTTTTTCTTTTTGCTTATGTGGTGCTGAGGAATTGAACCCAGGGCCTCAGGCATGCAAGGCAAGCGCTCTACCACTGAGCCACCTTCCCAGCCTCCTCTGCATCCTTATTATGTCCCTTTCTGTTGGGGAGCCCTTCCTAGGCCCCTGGTGCTGTTGTAGCCAATTTCTCTCTCCCTAGGTGTGCTATCAGTTGAATGTCCTAAGAACTGTGGAAATTTGGGAGACTTGGGTCTGACCTAGTGCTGCAGAGTTTCTTTCTTTCTTTTTCCTTCCCTTGTTCCTTTCCTCCCTCCCTTCTCTCTTCCCAGAGCTTGGGCTTGAACTCAGAGTCTACACTCCTGCTTAGCTTTTTCACTCCAGGCTGGTGCTATATCATTTGAGCCACACTTCCCCTTTGGGCATTTTACTGGTTAATTGGAGATAAGAATCTCTTGGATTTGTCTCCCTGGGTTAGCTTCAAACTCAATCCTTAGATCTTAGTCTCCTGATTAGCTAGGTTTACAGGCATGAGCCACTGGTGCTGAGCCTCCTAACTGGTCCTTAGATGAAGCTGCAGCAGCTGCCCTCTTCAGGCTGAGGCTGAGGCTAAGGGAAGTTGAGTGGTTTTTTCCCAAGGATCAGGACCTAGATCCACTGCCTTTTGGCTGTTGAACTGGAGGACACTACGTCCTACACTGAGGTCAGTTGGATAGAGTGGCTTAAGGGCAGCTGTGTGGTTCCCCCACCCAATTCTTCAATGCTTTTGGGAGAGGGTGGGCTAAGGGTTGCTAATGGTGGCGTTAATGTGCACCAACCAACACCCCTCCTATCAGGTTTAGAATGATGCTGAGCAGGAGCTCAGCCTGAGGGACAAAGGGGTGGAGTGGGTCTGGGTATAGGCTTAGGGGCACCTCTAGCTTTTTTGGATCCATCATCACTTCTCTTTGGAGAAGGAAAGGAGGATAGGCTTAGCAGTATAGGGCTGAGGAGGGTGAGCCCCTCTTTTCCCACGCTGAAGGGGGATGAACAAGCAGGACCAGCCTGTCTTGGAGACATACACAGGCCTCCACACTGGTGAATGTTAGCATGGTTCTTTTCCTGTTCTGGCAGGAATTGGGAGCGCAAGAGCATGAGAGGCCATCATCTGAAGGCTTGCCAGGAAAAAGTGCAGAAGGTCGCAGGAGCATGTGTTTTTGAAAGGCTCCAAGGATGGGAGTTTAGAAGATAGTCTTGCAGGGTAGTTGAGCTAATTAAAAGTGGATTAAAGAATCCAAGGTAATGTTAGGAAGGGGGAAAAGGAGTAGAGTTGAATCATAGCATACTGTTACCATGACGACTGATAAGTAAATTCTCCTAAATCGGGGGGTGCTGCCCTGTCATGCCTAGCAGCAGTATTGTAAGACTGAAGGGCCCCAACTCATCAATCATCCCCTGTCTTCTACCTCCATATCCCTGTTCTAGCTTGAAAGAGCAATCAAAGGGGCTAGGAATGGGAGAGCTTGCTTCTGTCTTTGTTTTGACCTCTCCTTCCATGCTAAATGAATAGTTCGGGTTCCTGGGCTTCCCTTAGCACTTCCTTGACCCAGCAATGAATGGCTCTGCTGAAGGCCAAGTAAACAAAGAATTTGAGAAATCATCCCATCCCCAGCAGAATCAGCTTCTGAGCTTGTTCCCTTCCCCTGTTGTTGGCAACTAACTTCTGCTTCTTCCCTGCCTCATTAAAGCTCCCTGAGAGGGTGGGTTCCTCACAGCCTAGTTTTCACTTCTCTTCCCTTTCCCAGCAGGCCATCCAGGGAAGGGGTACTCCAGCCTAAGGTCTTAGTGAGGTTCCTGGCACTCTGCTGTTCGTCAAACCACCGTGCTGCTCTCTAGTGCCCCAGAGATCAGAAGGAAGGCAAGGAAGCATCCAACAAGGGGCACCTCTTGCTCATTCTGCTGCCACCCTTTCTCCCTTACTGAACCCTGTTCTTCTATCCCTGGTTAGAACTTTGAGGCCACATTGTGCCTCCAGGATCCTTTTCCTTTCTTTCTTTCTTTTTTTTTTTTTTGTCGGTTGTGGGGCTTGAACTCTGGGCTTGGGCACTGTTGCTTAGCTCTTCAGCTCAAGGCTAGAGCTCTACCACTTGAGCCACAGCACCACTTCTGGTTTTCTGGTGGTTTATTGAAGAGTCTCATGGAGCCAGGCGCCAGTGGCTCACGCCTGTAATCCTAGTTACTCAGGAGGCTGAGATCTGAGGATCTCAGTTCAAAGCCAGCCCGGGCAGGAAAGTCTGAGAGACTCTTATCTCCAATAAACCACTAGAAAACCGAAGTGGCACTGTGGCTCAAGCGGTAGAGTGCTCACCTTGAGCACAGGGACAGCGCCCAAGCCCAGAGTTCAAGCCCAACAACTGACCAAAAAAAATAAAAAGCGTCTCATGGACTTTCCTGGCCTGGATGGCTTTGAACCATGATCCTTGGATCTCTGCCTCCTGAGTAGCTAGGATTACAGGCGTGAGCCACTGGCACCAGGCTCCTTTTCCTTTCAACCAGGGGATTCTATCAGATTCAGGACCTTGGGACCAGGTTTCTGGGGCAGTGTCAGCTTGACCCTTAACTGCCACCTGGCTCTTCCTTCCCAGCTGCTGGAGTACTTGGGGAAAGGCAAAAGCATCGTGGATGTGGGGTTAGCTCAGGCCCGGCATCCACTGAGCACCCGTAGCCACTATTTTGAGGTGGAGATCGTGGATCCTGGAGAGAAATGCTACATTGCCTTGGGGCTGGCCCGGAAGGTAGGCATGAGTGCTAGTCTTTTTTTCTTTTCTCTTTTGGTCACTCATGGGGCTTGAACTAAGGGCCTGGACTCTGACCTTGAGCTTTTCTGCTCTCACTCTGAGCCACAGCTCGACTTCCTGGTGGTTAGTTGGAGATAAGAGTCTCCAGGCAGGCTGGCTTCAAACTGTGATCCTCAGATATCAGCCTCCTGAGTAGCTTGGATTACAGGTGTGAAGTGTGAGCGCCTGGCTCTGGGCTTTTTTCTTATGGTGCAGCTGCTTAGTGCTGGGCTGTTGGGATGGAGCATGTAAGGTGACAGACCGCATGTGACTAAGGACCCCAGAATATTGAGACTATCCCACATATTCTAAGGCCTGGATGTGGGGTGGGACAGTCCTGGTCCTGAAAGCTGATGTCTGCATAGTAGGCTCTCCAAAAGCTGACAGATTCAGACACCACTCTTTTTTGTCCTCTCTTTTGTACATGATACCACACATTGCTTTTCCCTCCTTGGTACAGGATTATCCCAAGAACAGACACCCTGGCTGGAGCAGAGGGTCCGTGGCTTACCATGCAGGTAAGTAGAGAGCTCCCAGTAAAGGGAGGGTATAGGGACAAAGAACCCTAGGAACATCTATTTGCCTAGGTCTCTTCTGAGGGGCCTTCTCTTTCTCTTTCCCCTAATGAAAAAGCTCTTGTTTTCCTCTCGACTTATTTTCCTCCCATCCTTGGAAGCCAGGGGAGTAGGACAGGGTGGGAAAACTGGGCCTGAACTGAACATTCCAGGTCTTTGAGTTGACTCCTTTGTGCCCTTCCTGTAGCTCTTGCAGATTTCTTTTCTTTTTTTGGTTTTGTTTGATTTCCTTGAGGGCTTTCTTGAGAAGAGGACTAAATCTTGGTTCCAGTTCACCTCCCTTTCCTTGCATGATTATTCCTCCCGTAGGGGCTCCCTCTTTAACCAGTTCTCCTTTAGTCTGATAGATCTTGTGTTTCCCCACTTCTTAAAAAAACTAGTGCCCCCTTACCATATGTCTCCTCAGCTTTGTTTCAGTCTTGGGATATAATGCCACCCTCCATCAAGTATGTCTCTCCCCTCTCTCCAACAGATGATGGGAAGATCTTCCATGGTAGTGGTGTGGGAGACCCCTTTGGACCACGCTGTTACAAAGGGGACATTATGGGCTGTGGAATCATGTTTCCCCGGGACTATATTCTGGATAGTGAGGGTGAGTAGGGTAGTGCAGCAACAGGCTGTCTAGAGAACAGGGCAGCATGAGTTCAGGGGTAGCATGAGTTCAGGTTTCCTGTCTTCTAGGTGACAGTGATGACAGCTGTGACACAGTGATCCTGTCCCCAACTGCCCGGGCTGTCCGGAACGTCCGGAATGTCATGTACCTGCACCAAGAAGGGGAAGAAGAAGAGGAGGAAGAGGAAGAGGAAGAAGATGGGGAAGAGATAGAGCAGGAGCATGAGGGCAAGAAGGTGGTGGTGAGTAGGGAGGTTTGGGTTGGCTTTGGGGTCCTGGGACTGGCAGGGACTGCTGCCAGTAGGAATAGGACGGTGGCTTGGGTAGGAAAGGGTGTGGTTTGGTACTGCCCTGGGAGTGTCCTGGGGTCACCAGAGTGTGAAAGGCTAGGAGTCTGTTTTCCAGCCTCAGCACGCCCTCTCGTGGTCTCTTCCCATGTTGCCCCAACTGTCTCCTCAAGTCCATGCTGGGAGTTGGGAGCCATAGGTTTCAAAGCTGAGTAGCTCCATTATCAAGAGAAGACTTCAGAGTTTCTTCCATTCTCCCCACCCCTACCACCAGGTTTTCTTCACCCGAAATGGCAAGATCATTGGGAAGAAAGATGCTGTTGTACCTTCGGGAGGCTTCTTCCCCACCATTGGAATGCTGAGCTGTGGGGAGAAAGTGAAAGTAGACCTGCATCCCCTGAGTGGCTAGGCCTCCTCCTTCACACCCGCCCTCCTCTCTCTGCACACCCTTTGAAGGGCTGGGTGCTCAGTTCCTGGCTTCCCCTGGGATTTGTTTACTCTACAGGCCCTGGGGTACATTCACTCTGATCCCTACCAACCCAGGTCCTGGTCAAGCTTGACCTTTCTTACCTGATGCCATCTGTAATCATCAGTCCCTGGGCCCGAGTCCCTGGTTGGACAGAAACAGGCCCAAAGAACAGTGTTGATACATGGCTGGGCCTCCCTTGCTTTGGTCAGGCACTTGAATCCCCTTTCATTTGCTGGCCCTGTGTGAGTCGAGAGGAGCTCGCCCGTTCTCAGCTGCTATTTGAGCGTGGCACTTTGCAGAGGGTGCAGAGGCAGCCTGTCTCCTACTTAGTACATATGTCCCCTTGGTTTCTCTTTTGTTTTTTGTTCCGTGTCCTTATCATGTGAGCCAATCACTGCTGTCTCTCCCCCTGGCTGGCCTAGGGGGCCTCTCTTGGGTCTCTCTCCTTTTACTAGCTGCTGCCCTGAAAAGACTCCTCCTCCAGGGTATCTACCCTTTCCCCTGGCTGGCTCCCTGTCTTCTCCCTGCTCAGGCACCATTATCCCACTGAGTCTGAGTCTGGCTCCTCCCACTCGTTCACATACAGGGTGCTTAGTACATGTGTAGTAGACAGGACTGGCCTTTGTTCCCTGCATCCTGGCCATGTTCTCTGGTGGCATCTGTGTCCCTAGCTCTCTGGGATGGAGGCTGAGGCTCTGGGGCATGGCTAATGCTGTGGCCCCTTACTCCCCTTTACCTGCCCCCATTCCTGCCTGCCTCACACCCTAGCTTGCTGCTTGTACCAGTTGCCTGTTTTGCTTCAGTGTTTGATTCTATCACTTACATAGATTCCCCCAAGCCCTCATACCACTTTCTCCCGCCTTGACCCTGAGCCCCTCCCCATAGGAGTAAGGGAAGGAAGAGGGAACAGGAGCTCTAGGCCTTGGTTTGCACAGAGTGGGCAGGGCCTTGGGGAAAATGGGTGTGCTGTCGTGCTGCTGGGACCCCGTTGGTCCTCCCTTTTGGCCCTGCACTATGTTGTATGAAATGTATGTACAGACCAGAGATGTTTATACAGCCAATAAAGACGGAGTTTCCGTATTTATCAGTACAGCCAGAATGGGAATGTTTCCCAGTACAGAGGGCCAGGGCCCCAGGATAGAGGGTGAAGGGCCCCTGGTGAAGATAGGGATCAGTCTTAAGTGCAGGGAGGGGATCATATATGTTCACGGCCTTAGGATGCCCTCATGAAGCACAGTTGTGTCTCCAGGATACACAAAACTTTGACCTTGGGCTGGGAATGTGGCTCAGTGGTAGACTGCTTGCCTAGCATGCATGAAGCCCTGGGTTTGATTCCTCAGTACCACAAAACAGAAAAAGCCAGAAGTGGTGGCGTGGTTTGTGGCACAACACTAGCCTTAAGCAAAGAGGGGCTTAGAGACAGAGCTCAGGCCCTGAGTTCAAGCTCTAGGACTGGCAAAACAAAACAACACAAAACAGACCTTCCATTGAATAAGGTTATCAACTCCTTGAACATTAATAGAAATTCTTTATTAGACAAAAATAGACTCTTTTAATCCTCTATTCATGTGATCTCACTCTGATCTGTGCTTAGAGAGGAGACAGAGGGGAGAGTGACATCCTCCTCCCTCCTTCTCCCCCCCCTCCCATGCTGGGACCTGCAGCCCATTGGAACTGGCAGGGCTCATGTGCTCCTGCAGGTGGTCCTGTCCCGATCCGTTCCAAGGCTCTCAACTGCTGTGTCTCCTCACCCCACACACTGTCTCTGCCATCTGCTCACATGCAAGGTCATCTCATAGGCCCATCCACTTAGCTTAGCAGGCTGGGGGTGGGAAAAGTGCAGCAGCCCAGGCCAGCTTTCATTTCTCCTTAGGGGTGCTGGCTCCTGGGACTCCTGGGTCCAGGCCAGGGCAGTGTGGGCTGTGGAGTGCTGGGAAGTGCAGTGTTGACATAGGCTTGGAGCTTGTGGCCTTCCTTCATTTTCTCTGGCCTAGTAGAACTTTAGTGATGAAGGTGACAATGGCGCCTGCAGGTTGATCTGGATCCATCTCCGCAAAGAGGTGACACACGTTCTCCCAAGGGCTTCCTGGCTTCTTGGCCACAAAACCAAAGATCCTATGGGGACAAAACCAGGGCAAGGAGTGTTGTTGAGTGGGGCAGGTAACCTCATGCCAGGGTTGGGGAGGATGGAGGTGCCTTGTCCTGAGAGCTTGTGTTGGACTCATGAGGAAGCTTACTTGGAGGTGGTCCCATCTGGGTTGGTCCATCTGCAAAAGGAGAAAAACGGTGAGGGAGTGCATCCCATGGCACAGCTACTGAGGGGGGAGCTGGGGCCAGGCCTGGAGGGACCACAGGCCAGATAAGGGCATGGAGGGAGGGTCACCTGCGGTCTTGAGGGTCAGTGCTGGAGAAGGTGATGCTGCTCACTGGGTAATGGCGGCGAAAGAAGAGCCTGTGGAGATGGAAAGTCTTACTTCCTTAAGGAATCTGGGCTTCCAAGGGCCTTTGTGTGGGGTTCTAGGAGGGTGGTTGTACAGACTCACTTCCTTTGGTTGTCTGTCAGTGTGATGCCTTGGGCTGAGACCTTGAAGTGGACAATGGCTGGCGTTGGGCGGGCGCTGCAGCTCAGAGCTGCAGAGCTGGCTCTGGCCACTGCTTGGGGGCCAGTCAGTGATTCTGTTTCCACTGAGGTCAGATAGAGCACACTGCAGGCTGGGGGAGCGGGGATGGGAGGCAGAGCAGGAAAGGAATATGTCTCTGCCAAGCACCCAGATCTCCGGGACCCCCTCCTCCCTGTCTCCCACTGCTACAGCTCTTATACTTTCTCTAGCTGGTGTTTCAGAATACAGTAGAATCATGGAGGGGATATGTGAGGAAGGTAGTCCCAGCTTCTGTATCTGTTCTACAGTTAGGGATGCTGGGAAGGAGCTTAATCTGGGAATCTTTCCCCTCACCACTGTGAGTGCCAGTATCGTAAGTCGAGAACCTAGGCCGGTACTCCCCTTTTCCCACCCCTTGAAAACTAGCTGCTCCTTCCTTCATGGGTTAAGTGTATTACAAGGGCCCACCCACCACCTCCAGCCCCTTCAGTGTCCCCTCCCCCATAGCTGCACAGTCTCTAGTGCCCAGAGAGAGAGAAGGGAGGGAGAGTTCTCTACCAGCGCCCTGACGGAGGAGGTCTGCCGCTGTGCTCATGTTGGTGGGCACTGGAGCCTCTGGGGTCTCTTCCAGAGGATCTGAGGGAAATGAGGTTCAACAGAGAAGGATAAGAAAGGAGATACATAACCTAGGAGCGTGAGAACTCAAGGCTGGGAGCCAGGACCTGAAGGGGTGGTGACAGGTGAGCACAGATTACCCACCTTTACTGGGAATACGCAGGCAGCAGGGCAGGGAGATGGGGGAGATAGAGTGTTGTGAGACCAGGGCGGACAGGCTGCCTGTGGGGGGTGGGGGAGAGGGGAGAAAAGTCCTGAGGTGCCCACTGGTAACACTCCGCTTTTTACCCTCCTGAGATCCCCTGGCTTCTCCCTAACCCAATCCAGTGAAACCTTCCCCCCAGCTTCTGTTTCTCACCAAAGTAGGGCTCACTGGGACAGCCTTTGATCTTCACCCCTTTGGGCCCAGTTTCAATGAGGAAATGGCGGACCAGCTGTTCCAATGGGTCCCCTGAGGTGGTGAGGGGAGGCAAGTAAGGCTTTACTAGATTCTAGGCTCCCATCTCCCTTGATGGGATTCTTTCCTGAGCAGCTGAGGTCTTTTCCTGCCCCTCCCCTCCATAGAGTGCTCCTCCATCCCAGCCTACACCTATTATCTTCTCCCCATTCCACTCCTGCCTCCCTCAGAGGTGGACCTTCCATGCAGTACCTTTCCAGGGCTGGGCACTGGGTGGGGGTGTGGCCACTTTGAGGGCCAGCCCATAGGCTCCTTGGAATGAGTGACTGTCCCTGATCAGGAAGGCTCCAGGGTCCTTGTCCTTCAGCAGGGCAATGGCTGCAGGGAGGTGGATAGAAAGCAGTAGGGAGGAGTTTGCACTGTGGCTGACTGAGCTCCTCTACTAATGAGCTCCAGACCTCTCTTGTCATGACAGCTGTGGGGAGGGGTGGCAGCCATCTGAGGACAGAACTTTATGGAGTTCACAGATGCTTTGACAGTGTTGAGTCTAATCTTGGGTCTGAAGCCCAGAATTACCTGCTGATGAGAGGCTTATCCAAGAACCCTTAAGCAGAGATAGCATGAGCCAAGGGCCTCACTAGGATGGACTTGAAGTCAAGACAGAAGTCCTAGAGGGTGGGGTGACATGCAGGTGCTGACTTCTTACCTTGGTCGCGGGACAGGTGTGGTTTGTACCAGAACTTGGATGTGTCCTGGACGAACTTGACATTGCTTTGGCTCTCTTGGGTAGGGGGCTCTGGGAGAGGGAGAGACTGTTCAGATACCAGAGCTCTCAGTCCCCAGACTTCTTTTTGAGAGAACAGGTTCTTTCAAGATTCCTCCAACCTCTCTCAAGGCCTTTATACCTGAGGGCTGACTGGCATTATCCGGGAGCAGAGGTGCAAAGGTGACATGGTGACTGGTGCCTCTGGCTGGTGGTGATGTCTGCTCTAGGCTCCAGGGTCCCGACTGTTGCCCAGGTCCCAAGAGGTGGCGTTTCTCAGGAAGTGGGGGCTGAGTGGGGCCATTGGTGTCATAGGATGTGGCCAGAGGGAAGGCAGGTGTGGGTGAGCTCTGGGGAGGCTCTGGACTGGCCACAAGCCAAGGCATCTGAGTAGGCACAGGGGTGAGGGGAGACCCATCTGGGCTGTCTGGGGGACCTCGAGGACCTTGCCAGGGGGCATGACGAAGGCCAGGCAGGGTAGTGGGCACAGGGCCCCGAGGACTGGCACTGTCTGAGTGGCTCCCTGGGCTCCTTTCCTGAGGCCAGTCATTGGGAGAACTGGGAGGGGAGGTCGGGGAGAAGGAGCGAGGGCCTGCAGGTTCGGGCCCAGTTCTTGCTGGCAGTTCAGGAGCCTTGTCGGCACCTCCCTGAGAAACAGGGGGCAAGGCTGCACCAGGACTTAGTCTCTGAGTGGGTGCCAAGGTGGGGGACCTGGTGTCCTGCCGTCGGGTGCTGCAGGATAGAAGGGGAGATGGTCAGAGAACCATTCTCACAGCTCTGCCCACTTGGACAAGGTGCCCCAGTGACTGTTCCGGGGGAGGGGGGCGTCCCCTGGGGTTGGGTGGAAAGTTAGGTTTTATTAGATTTGAGCCCTCACATACCTTTCCTTGCCCTGGACTGGGCTGCTGGTGTGCAGGGGTGTGGAGGGACCTGACAGCTCTGAAGAGGCGCTGCACTGGGCATCTCTGGGAGACCGGGGAGATCGAGGCAGAGTGCTGTGCCCACTAGGGCCTTCCCTCCAGGACACTGGCTCAGGTGACTCTGTAGTGAAAGGGAGAGATGGGACTGAACACAGGAGCTGATTTTTCTGCCTGGCTGAGTCCTCCTTGGTGTCCCTACTAGCCTTCAGAGCCCTCCTCTGTCCTGGGCATTCCTGCTCTGATGCCCCTCACCTGCAGATGCCAAGGTTCCTGCTGAGGCCAGATGCCCAGGTAGAGGGTACTTGTCCCTTCCCTCCTCTGCAGGGGTCTCATAGCTCAGCTTCCTGGATTGAGGGTAGGGTGGGTTTCCCGGAGAAATGGAGCCCGCCTGTGGTGAGTGGGCACCAGCACTGGGATACCCTCTGCCTTCATTTGAAGATCCACAGCTGTGAGGCGCCCGGCCGTATGCTGGACAGTAACTGGGCACTGCTCCTCCATAGCCATAGGTCACCAGGGCAGGGTAGCCTGGATGTCCATACCTGCCTTCGGGGCACACAGCGTAAGAGCAGGTCTCGTGCCCTTCCTCACCCACCTTGGGTGGCTTCAGGCAGCTGTAGTCAGGCATGGGGGCATGGTGGTGCCCACAGGCAGGCACTAGCAGAGGCAGTGCATGTCCCTGCCGCACTGGGTGCAGGAGGGGCTTGTTGGTCTCACCGGCCCATCCCTCTCCAGCCTCCCTCTCCAGCCGCAGTCCATACAGGGCTGCAGTGGGCAGTGCCAGCTTCTCCTCACAGG